ACCTTTAAGGTTCCTTTTTGGACCACTCGAAAGCTTTATGGGAGCGAGAATCACTGTGAAGTTGATGTTGTTGACAAACATGTTCGGTCCAGCATTACGGTCCAAATTATCCATGAAACCCGTAACGTGCGGAATTATCACCAGAGATGGTTTCCTAGGAGTGTCGAAGAGTTCCTGACGTTAAATTCAGGGTCTATTTGAGTAAGAGGTAGGGGCACTTTGATGGAGATCGCTCTACGCACTGGAAGCCACATCAAACATTTTCTCTCGTGGAGAACGTTTAGACTAAGTAGTACTCATCCAACTTCCTTTGCACAAGGTGAATTTTGGTATCCCATTCAAATGCCGCTACAGTTCTATATGAAAGCAAAATGCGTGGCGCACTCCAAAAGAATGCCGATTATGCAGAATGATTGATGCTTCATACTTTGCCTTTATCGGACATTGAATCAATTTTTTTTTCAAATCAAGCGATTTTCAGAGTTTTTCTCTTTGGCTAGAATATTTTCCTAGTCACTGAAACTTCATCACTGGGACCTCCATCCATTGATGGTCCCAGAAATAAGGTCCCAGTAACTAAGCAAAATTACTCTTATTAATGGACAGCCATAAGAGATGTTCGTGAGCAAACCATCTTTCACATAGGCAGTTATTAACTGCCGTTTTTAGCCCGTAAAGGATAAAAGGATAAAGCATTCGGTTGGTTCAATCTTGTTTTGAGATGCGCCACGCACTCTACTTCCATTCATAGTAGTGGTAATTTGAGTGCGATTTGGGCTGTACAATGACTCAGCACAATGTGGGCTGTACAATGACTGATGTACTAGTCAGTATTTCTTCGACAGATTCTTCCCAGACATGTCTGGTAAGAATTAACCATCTCCGGAGGCTTGGTTGATCGGCCGACGCACGACCTCAGGATTTGATCCCTGGAACGCGCGCGTGTAGGCGGCGCCTCTTGCCACTAAACCACGGGCGGAGAGAAAAGCTCACCGCGGCGCGGACGCGAGCGCGTGCAGGTGACGTCACAGCTGCGACAAAACGGCCGACGAGAGGGCGAGATAGGAGCGTTGCTGTCACTTCGCTAGGACGGTAGAAGGGTTGCTAGCACCCACTAATTAGTACAATCATTAAAGCGGTGAGCAAAGAGAATGTTTTGTGTGTAAGTGCAATTTTCGCCGTCGAAAATTAGGAACTTGACTGCGAATGAGGAGGAAATAAACGGTTGCGTATTTGAAACCTGAAGAGTGCGCAATTAGGTCGAAGTTGATTTCAATAAGTCTATTTTTCGTTACATCTTCTACTCACTGCGCAGTGAACTCAGAGTCGATAGTGTCCAATACGTAATGTTGTAGACGCCTGTCTTGCTCAATCCCTTGCCGCTGCTGTGACGTCAAATTGACGTCACCTGCACGCGTCGCATCCGTGCCGCCGGAGCATTCCCTGGAGGCCCTAAAGACCATTTCCGACTCTTACTTTGGCTTACGTTTTCCTCTTTACGTTTCAATATCAATTTCATATATCACTTCGGATCATTATAGCATGCGCTCTCAATAAGTGGTTTGCTGATGCATTTGATCTGCTTTTATCTTTTGTATGCAAACGCTTATAGTGAATCTTATGTTCGCTAAATAAAGTATTTCAGTCTATTGCCGGCTTCTGTTCCCAGTTCTCCTCGGAACATAGTATATTCTTATATTTTTAGCAAAAACTGGTTCTTAGCTCGACACTTATTTTCCGAGCGTTAGGAATTTCCGACAGCATTCAACGTGTTTCACCAACGCTCAAATGCTGTTTCCAAGGTTCTGGCAATGACGTCACCTCTGGCTCCCATTTTGGGAGTGCTTGGCGGATGTATGGGATGTATGATATTCGTCGAGAAAATCGCCAAGTGAGATAATATCATTTTCACTTTTATTTTTTTTAAATTATAGGATTTCATGTTTTTCCTCTATTTATTGAATTTTTCACCTGTGCAGTCAGCTCTATATTCTCAAGCATTCTAATTTTTTTTTTTCTGATTTTCCGTCAAATGTTGAGTCATTCTTGAAATTTGAACTGTTTTCATCTTTGGTTTTTCTCATGGCTTTGAACTTTCTTCTTTTCCCTAGTAGTCATTTGTGTGCTGCCATTTTATCCGCTTCTTTCCGTACCCCTCTTTTCCCAAAGTCAACGTTCTGAAATTTCCTGATTATTACGAATGGCTTCCTTTCACTCGAATTTCGTTGCCCTGAACTTCGAAGTACGGTGCTTTCTTATGGTGCAATTCTGTGGCCTTGTCAGCACATGCTCATGGCTTCGCAGTCGCTGCGCATTCTGTTCGACAAAGTTCTTCTGCAGGACCACTCAGACATTTTTTCTGACCCTGTTCAATAGCCGCGGGCCTATCTCGGCGTTCTCACTTCGTCCTCGAGGAGCTGCCGATTTTTCCCTGTGAGTCAGCACTTGCTGCAGTGGAGTTCCTTGGACCTCACTGTCTGTTACCTTGCAGAGCGCCCTTGATCGGAGATGGTACTAGTCGAATTACTAAATTCCATTCGAATCGCATTTATTCGAATCTTCAAGGCCAGATCCATGCTAACATCAGCGGTTAGAGCACTCTTCAGGTTGATCTCTACTCCCTCAATGCTTTCTTCATTACAGTCCACGATCGTCTTTTCATACTCTTCAGAGCTCAGGAACTTGCTCTTCTTCCCGTTCAGCGGGAGCTCATTTGCTGCTACTGGCGTTTCCTGCCACTTTGACATCTTATCTCAGGGTTTTCCCTGCTGTCTGTATCAAGGTGGTGTCGTTGGAGCATTATTTCAGAGTTTATACATGACCCTTTACCATGACATCCAGGGATAGTAAGAAGCGGAGAGGACTCAAAGTCAGGTCCAACTGTGCGTAGCGCAGTTTCAACAACGGGGGGATATTCCAGTGTCGTATTCTGGGGGTATCGTATTTGAGGTTGGTGAAGGGAAAATGATGGAAAGGGGTTTGTCCTTCTGGAAGTTGAAGGGGTCACGTTTGACAGTTTTGACGATTTTGGCGAAAACTCCACGAACGAAGCGCGAAATAGAAAAAAATGTAGAGGATTTGCCGTCTCAGCAATTTGAGAAATCCCCCCCAAGCCTATGGTGATTTAGTAAGGAGTGGGTCGATCGAACCCCTCTGTTCTGTAAAAGGGGGGGTCAAATCGACGAGCGTGCGTTCTTCTAAGTTCTAGTTCTTGTAGGTATTTTCGAGTCCCATCATACATGTATGTCTCCAGCCTGAGGTCGGTGGTCTGGACGATTGCCTCTTCAGCAACCATTTGGAGGATTGATTGGGGTAACTGTAGACACGTTAATTTCAGAAATCACTGGCACATAGCAAGCGGAGCCAACACTTCTCTTACCAGTATTCAAGCGCTTAAAGGAGATGACGAGACCGCTGTGCCCCAAGACGTGAAGCTTGAAACAACTTCAACAAAATCCGCGCCCAGCCCTGCATTCATTTTCTGAAGTTGACTTGCATCGTGTATGCACAGTCGGCGTTTTTCCACAATTCCGTACTCCGTTTGTACGTTCCTCTGGATAAGATGAACACAATGGTGTTTGCCCGTATTCGGCGTCTTTTCCATCAACAGTTGGGAATCCGCAAAGATTTGCCTTTCCCGTGCTCTCGTGACACTTTCAGGTGCTCAGTGGGATTTTCAGCCTCCGCCCAACTGATCTGCAGTCATGTCTTTTTTCGCCATTTCTGTGTCCAGCAGTGCGCTGGAAACAACTGTCATCTATAGTTGTGGGCTAGCCCTGTGGGGAACTCCTCTTACAGAAAGCTACTTCTATGTCTTCTCCATCTCAATAGAAAAGAGGAAGATTGGGGGGGGGAACAACCGGATTACCCTGTTTCGTCAAATTAATTTCATCTTTCGGATATGTTTGTTAAAAGGAAAAATTTGGAGGTCCATAGTGAACGTATGGGGAATTGTTCCCAATTTCGGCGCAAGCTTCGTCCATGAATCTCATGACATTCTCCACATTTCTTTTTATTGCATGCCATGGACTAATATTCACATCGAAATTCTTCACCGTTCCCAACAAAATTCCTCTCAGGTAAGTATTTTTGCGATTCGTATTAAAAGAGTAATCGCAACAATCCAAAAAAAGTATCAAAAATAGTTATAAATATCATTGATAAATACCAATGAACTATTATTATTCACTCAATTACAGCTATTATGCTAAGTGATATCATAATTAGGCAAATAATTATTATGTTATTATTATACTTATTTGAAGGAAACTTAAAGGTACTGACCACGATGACTGGACAGTGGTTTTGATGAATATGTTCATCGTAAGCACAGGTGGGCTAGACGCCTTGTTGCGCTGGGGGTGTGGTTAGGACCTCTCCTCTCAACGGCGTTTCACCAATGATGTTCCACGGCATTATAAAGCCCGCACCGTCCTCCAGCCGTCGTGATCACTGCTTTGAAACCATAGGGCATCTGGTTCATTCGAGATTTGAAATTATTATCATGATTTCGGCGAAAGAACGTAACCCGCTTTCCTTGGTTGAGCCATGCAGAAGTTTCTGTGTAGAGATGGCTGCGCACTTCCAAGGTGGCACAACTGAATCATACAAATTTCGTTTGCTGGAATAAAACTATAATTTCAGAGGCTATATCCCTACCGTGATCACGTTCTTCACTGTGAATGTGATAAACAATCAAGCTCTTAATTTTCATGTTCCCGTACCTTTGCATATCATTTTTCGATCGGTAAGTCTCTAAAAGGTAGATCCTTTTTAGCTTCTGAAAAAACCCCGTTAAGGGTTCTCTTATGGCAAATCTTCTGCTCTCTGTGATTTTGCTCAAGAAAAAGTACACTCTACGGAAGTATCTATCAGTATTCGCCATAACTATCGGTATAGTTATCTGTACACTGGCAACAAGTGATCTCGAAAAGGTAGGCGATTGGTTTTCGAACTTTTCAAAGTTTCGGAGAGATCCCATTTGGCACTATCGCAAGATACGGTAGCATCTTCTAGCGTCAAGCCGAGGGGGCAGGAACTCTGAAGGAAATGAAAATTGTTTCCGCACCATGTAGTCTCTCCTCGCCCGCCTACGCTTATCGTTAGCCCTGCCTTTACCAAAAAGAAGATGGTTCAGGTTTTGAATGCATTGTCACCACAATGCCCCCGTATCTTGCGATAGCGCCCTCCCAATTACTAGTCGAATACTGACTTGAAGGTGGATTTCACAATAAGCCGATCGCCCTTTGGAAATGAAATCATGGATGGTTGGTGATGCAGAGATCAAAAAAAAAACAAAGGGAAATGGCCTGAAACCACGAAATGGGACCCTTATGCCTTCCGTTGGTTTCCACATCCCCATCGGAACTGATATTGTTGGCGTAAACGCTCAGCTCTGCGTCTCTACTAAACGGCTAGAGGCCGAGGGAGTGGCAGTTCGTAGGGCGTGTAGTGTTGCGAGCGTCGCCGGTTCAGCCCTGCTGAGCCGCTAGGGGCGTATCCATCTCTGCAGAACGAGCACCGTCCCCCACTCTTGGATAGCTTTCCTTCCCTCTA